AAGACCTAACCCTAAAGAAAGTGGTGAAGAATGTTCCCAAACACCAATCACCCATCAATCAATCCCTTCTGTTTTTAATTCTAATTCAACTTCACAAACACCAATCACTAATCAATCAATCCCTTCGATTTCTAATGCAACTCCACAAACACCATGCTCTAATCAACCTAATGATAATGTTGACATGAAAGATCTTTCAAAGGACCCAACGGATAAGCCAAAGATTACAAGTTACAAATCAAATATAAGAGATGATGTATGAAGAAAGTATTTGCTTCAAGGACATTGTCAAATAAGGGTACATAAGTTTATAAAAAAGAAAATAGGTGATAGATTTAGAAGATTCGTTCCTTCATGGTTTGATGATTTTGATTGGTTGGAATATAGTGTGAAAAGGAATAAAGCATATTGTTTATATTGTTATGTGTGTGGAGACCTCATGAATCAAAGAGGGGGGAGAGAAGCATTTGTTTCCCAATTTTTTGATACTTGGAATAAAAGAGATGCATTCCGGACTCATGTGGGTGGTGTTGATAGTTTTCACAACAAAGCAAAAGAAAGGTGTGAATTTTTAATGAGACAAAAACAAGCTATCAATGTGTTCTTGAGGAGGCAAACTGAAGTGGAGGACCATAAATATAAAGCTCGATTACATGTTTCTATTATTGTTGTTAGACTTTTATTGAAATAAGGTCAAATGGGAGATTGGGCTCCACAACTCAACAATCTCCCACTTGGAAGTTAATCAACCTGATATACTTCCATCTAAAATCATTGATTCATATCTCTCCCATGAACTTGCCTTCTCTTCAAGTATCTAGAAGGACAATCGAAACCATACATAGCTTCAAATTCTCTTTCTCTACTTCCTTGGTAAACTTACTTGCTTGATTCTTCATACCTTGGATCTTCTTCACATTCAAAGTACCATCACTTATCAATTCCCTGATAAATTGGTACCTCATCTTGATGTGTTGCGTTCTGTAATGAAACATTGGATTCTTCACGAAGTGAACTCTAATATGTTATCGTGATCTAGGATACGATATTCGTATTCATTGCCTAACTATGATAAGAATTCCTTCAACCAAATAAGCTTTGCGGTAGCTTCTATAATTGTTATGAAGTCTACTTCAATGGTTGAAAATGCAACATTATTTTGTAATATGTACATCCAAAAATAGTTGTTCCCTTAATTGTGAACACATAACTTGTTGTGCTCTTCATTGGATCCTCACATCCCTATGATATGCATCAACAAATCCTTCTAAGACCACCTTTTTTCTTATGAAAAATAAGGTTGCGCTTGAATTTCAAGTAGTGTAGTAGCCACTTTACTGCTTCCTAATTCTCCTTGCCCAAATTTGACATCAATTTGCTTAATTATCCCACTACATGAGCAATTTCTTCCTATTTGGTCTAGTAGTTACCATGGCACATCAAGCTACCAATTACTGATGCATAAGGGGCTTCGGCCATTTCTTCATTCTCTTCTTCCGTATTAGGCGATTGCTTCATTAAGATTCTCATATTACTTCCCAAAGATGTGTTTTTTGGGCTTACCATATGCTTAGCATCCCCCAAGTCATTCATTTTGAACTCTTTAGACAACTGTTTTTTCAACATGTTGATCTCCTATATGTCGGATCTAACTACAACATGCCATAAACATACACTAAGAGGATAATGTAAGAGGAACTAAATTCTTCAAGTACCACTACCTTGGAGCTCGTTTCAAACAATATAAACTTTTCTTCAGTTTGCACACTAAGTTTTCCTTCCAAACAAGTCGAAAACCTTTTAGTTGTGTGATATCGCCAAAAATGAATATATTTTTATATACCGATATTCCTAAATTTATATGGGTTTCCATGGAATACTAGGTCAAACTGGTACTTAAGTTATATATATATATATATATATATATATATATATATATATATATATATATTTGGTTTCCATGATTTTATCGTTGAATCTAATTTAACTGAGCGAAAACCCAAGGAAATTCAAGACAATGCATAAAATTGAGAATTTAGAGCTCATGCTGGCCATTTCATGTTTGTAGCATAGTCATGCACCCCTTAACAAAAAAACATGTTGCTCTAGAAAACTTACATCCTAATGATAGTTGTGCATGTCCAGTCAATGTTTTCATGCATGGGTGTGCGATGATATTCTTGGGAATGACCATTCCTGATAATTTTCATGTCTTCACGCTGCTGAGAAAAAAATGTCACGTGCCACTTTAGCCACATGTAGCCTTACAAAGTAATTCTACAAGGCCATGCCAGACGTACATACTTGAAATATTTAAAATAATTGTTGCTTCTATTTTCATTATGTTTTCTTTAGGAGCTGCTCTAGGGTTTTCTTTGTGCGACTATCCCCTTCATTTTCTCCCAGTTTTGTGTATAATTTCCAAAGGAATGAAGATTTCAAGAATTGGAAGCTTGTTAAAGCTACATCTTCGTTTCCCCCGTTAAAGCTTGCTTGGGTTTAATCTTATATTAATGTCTACTATTGATTTCTTCAGTACTTTTTTTTGCTTAGTTTACTTCATGTGTAGCATGGAGTAATGTTTTAAGGTTATGTTTGGTAAGATATACTAGCTTATAAGCTAGTTTTTTTTCAAGATTTTTTAGGTTATCATGTTTGACAAACCAAAAAGTAGCTTATAAGTTGGCTTATAAGCTAGCTTTAAAAAAAAAACTATTCAGACTATGGTTTCAACAAGCTTACTGAACTTTTTTAAAATAATCCCAAATATAACATTTATTAATTATAGAAAAACTCAATATTCCACATACATTTTTATGTCATTTTTCATATTTCAGCTAACTTATCAGCTAGTTTTACCAAATATCATTTTTTTATAAGCTACCACCTAACTTTTTATCTATCAACTAGCAACTAGCTTTTTAGATAGTCTGTCAAACATAACCTAAGTACTATTAGATGAAATGTTTTAGGTTTAACTATTGGAGTAGTGTTATTAAGTAATTCTTTTTTCTTTTAGTTTTTCCTTGTCTTCTTCCGTCTTGGGTGATTGCTTCTTTGAGAGTCTTAAATGACTCCTTAAAGGTGTTCTTATGGCTTAGCAATGCCATGCTGAAGTAATCTAACATTATGCTGGTGTATTTATGTTGGGAAAGCTTTATAGTACCAAAGACGTTGTCTCTAATTATACTCATGCCTATAATCTACTTAGATACTCCCTAATCATCCATCTCGAACACTTTGGACAACTACTTATGCAGCTTGTTGATCTCCAGTATGTTGGATCCAACTACCAACATGTCATTAACTTATAATAAGATTTAAGAGGATGATGTAAGAGGAACTAAGATTCTTTAGGTAACAACAATGATATATTTCACATCTCGTGTATTCGTTCCTCTACATGAAACTATCAAACGTCAAGTACCACAACCTTGTAGCGTGCTTCAAACTATACTTACTTTTATTCAGTTTGCACACCATGACTACAATTTGAAAACTTTCTCGTTATTTCATGTATATATCTTCATCATGGTCTCCATGCAAAAATGGTGTCTTTATATCTAGTTGCTCTAGATGTTAACAAACCAAGGACCAATCTGATTGTGGCCATCCACTCAACTATAGAGAGAATTTCATTGTAACCAATTATTGCTTTTTGTTAGAACCCCTTTACTACCAATCAAACCTTGTATGTCTTGCTTCCATCGGTCTCATCCTTAAACCTTAATATATGTATTTATTTTTTGTTAAATAATTGACCAATGACCAAATTTAGTTCTTGTTAAGTAATTTGTTGATGGATAATATCTCACTGAAGGATTTCTTACTCTGGTACATCTCAGGGGGATTCCGGAAGTTGTTGCTTTTGTGGGTTCTCTCCTACTATCTCCTCTTTCACTACCATCATTTGAGGCTTCACTCCCACACACACCAACATTTCCAAAATCATCTGATCTCCTACTGATTCCTAAACTTTCACTAGTGGATTACTGATAGGTCTTTCAATGTCATTTACTGTACCTTCCTCAAATACTATATGTGCTCATCAGATGTTTTTTTAGCTTTGATTGGTTAAAACGGTTTTTGGTTGGTCACGAAACCGACAGTAAACCAAATAATATATATTTCGGTTTTCAGTTTACAAATCGGATTTTGGTTTTGGCGGGTTCAGGTTGGTTAAATCGTATAACAAAAACCCAAATAAAAAGTTGTTTATGGGGGAAATTAAGGACGATGGTGATCAATCAGAACTTGTTACTGCATAATGTATTTACTATTAAGAGAAGAGATGCGAAGAAAGAGGATGCAATCCCTGGGTTTTTAGGGGTTTTAGAATGACGATGGTACTAATAATGTTGTATGGAATCGCAAGCTTGGTGTACTTGAATCTAAACTGATTTTATAGAAATTATAATAAATGGTAATTACCTTAATACTCATGTTGTTCCTTTAAAATTACAAATCGGTACAATTTGTTTCACAATTTACATAAATGACACATTAATATTAACCCTAGATCTAAAAATTTAGACGGTTGTGATATGTTCTTACATTATTTTTGTACTTAATATTTATCAAGGTGTGAAAAAGACACAAAGTATGATGAGGATCCACTCATGTTAAGCCCAAATACAACAAACCCAAGAATATGGAAGGTGTACTCAAGAAGGGCAAAAGGGTCAAGTGGAAAAAGTGGCTAATGAGCACTGATGTGAGGAGTAAGAATAAAAGGAGAAAGAGGATATTTCATTTCACATGTTCACTTATTTTGCATTCTACTTTGATTGTTTTGCATTCTACTTTGATTGGCTCTTAGCTTAGTGCTAACAAAAGAGAGAATCTTCCTTGGTTTTGAGAGAATCTTCCTTGGTTTTGTTATCATTTTTCTGTTTTACAATCATTACATCAATATAGAAACTTTCCTTCCTCTACAATCCATTGTTCATTTACATTCATCACTGTTAAATTCAATTCTTCCTTGCCAACTCCCATCAAAGTATTAGGAAATTCTTTTGAATTATGCTACGAGTATCAATTACAAAGTCACCAATCAAATGAATAAACTCCAATCTAAAGAGTCGATCAAACATTTTACAAATTTCATCTTCTTAAAACAACTATGAATACAAGCAAGAAGATTACCTAAATTTACCAAATGTAATTCCCAATCAATGAATTATTACAGCTGTAAATGATCAACTTTAGCCCCAAGCCATAGAGCACGCATAGTTCACCACCAATTTACCATCAAATCCAAAATTCTGCAACATTTTGTAATAACAATTTATCTTTTGCCTATTAGACAAAAATGGGAGATGAACTAGATGCAGATAAAAGAAGCTTACATCATACAGATCATTCACTAGTTCATCTGGACTTGGAGAAAAGGCACTGTTCACATACACAAACTGAAAGAAAAAAAATAACCCAATTTAGTAGGCATGCTTATAGATTTTCAAACTTGAAGCTGATGATTATAGCAACCTACTTACCAGAGTCTCCCTGTGAAGCTGGCGACAAAGAAAATCAATCACCTTAGAAAATCTATCAGTTCCAGCAATCTGAAAATTCAAGAAACAGTTTCAGGTAAAAATTAAACTTCTTGATCATCTAAACGCAAACTAAAACTTGAACAGAATCTAACAACTTATTGTGGTTGTTAGTGAAATGCCTAAAGATAGAGTTGTGGATACCTTTTAAGTGTCTCATTTATACAAGCAAACATGACATATCATCGGTCATACTTCATACATGATAATCATCAACTCTATTCGCATAAGAGCTTATGATCATACTATTACTAACGTGCATATAAGATGAACTAGGGTTTCCAAAAACGATCTCGTACACTCCAAACAAGAAGTGCTGAGATGTGATGACAATCGCATATATCATAAGAAGAACAAAAATCAATTTGATTAAAGTGAAAAGTACCTTGAATTTGGCTTGTTTGAGAATCGGAGCATCACCGGTAGCTCTCAGATGTACAACGACTGTGTATCAAAGCCGATGAAGAACAAATAAGATTAAACCTAATCAATCATATTTTGTGAATAGTACAAGACAATGAAACTAAAACCTAACAAGGAAAGTGATCAAATCTGGTATTCGAGAAATTGATTTTGATCATAGTCAGCTAACCTTTACGAGAAGCAATCGGAGAATCGGAAGCCATAGAAACAGTTTCTTGCTCTGGAGTAGAAACGTGTAAAAACTTGAATTTTTGCCCGGAATCACCTATTGGGCCTCATCGCGTCGAAGTATATATGTACTGGGCTCCTTTCGATTTAGGCGAAAATATGTATCTGATTTTAGGGATCAAATAGATTGACATTTTTTTGTTATATATTCTCTTTTGTAATATATCAATTATGAAATTCAAAAAAAGTTGTTTTTTTTTTTTACGAAAGTTTTAAACAGTGCAAAAATACTAAAAGTTTTCTAAGATTACATCATTTTGTAATATATGAATAGTTTTGCAACACAATTGTGAAATATGATTTTTCGTGAAAAACAAATTGTGTAAACTACTCATAAACAATTCCACAGTTCACAACCGACCAAAAACATAATTGATAGTTATTTGTTATTGATGAAAAATATTAATATATTAAAAGTCAAATCATATGATATAGTCATTTTTTAATCATTGATTTTTATCTAAAAAAAAAGAAGAATAACAAAGGCATTTTTTAATTCACTATGCCAAATCATTATTACATGTTCTCTTTTATGTATGTTCAATTTATTTATGTCATGTAGTCTCATTACTGACTTCTTAATTTATTTGTATACTCGATGTTGGATTATTTTAATGTATAATATTTATAAAACAAAAAATATATTCAATTATGTATGACTTAACTGGTATGAGCATGTTTAGCATCGTATAAAATTACATTAAGGGTTAAACTCTTTCGACGGTCCCATCAATTTCTTAGTAAAAACTCAAAATTATTTATGTCATGGAGCCATCATAAGGTCATCAAATAAGAGATAATCACGTCGCGTAATATCATGTGTTTATGTTCAAAAACAACTAAATGCCATCAATTTCTTAGGGATGAAACAATTCCAATAAAAAATGAAAAAAAAAAAACTTAAACTAGTTTATAACCCATGAGAACCACGGTTATAAAATTAATTAAATTTTTTTAGTAAAAACTCAAAATTATTAATCAATTATTTCAAATAAAGTATTTTAAATGAATTATTAATTAAGAGATTGTTTTAGTTATATAAAATTATAATCATTGATTTAAATAAATACATGAAATTATATCATCTTATAATATATATTAATTTAATTTTATTTTTTATTCTAATATTATTAATTTAATGTAAGTAGAGTGTAAAATTTGAAATTTGAAATGAATAATCAATTAATAATTTAAGGTAATTAGAGTGGGAAATTTTAAATTTTAAATAGAGAATTAATAGGTTGGCATGTAGCATGATAGGTGACATATAATATTAATGAGAATTTATAATATTGTGACACTTGTCAATAGAAGAATAAATTTATTTATTTATTAGAATATGGAGATGGAGATATGGAGATAAGAAATTAGTGTTTTTTTTAAACGACAAATAATTATTTTTCTCTTCTTTCCTTGGAATTGAATCCGAGATTTCATAATTAGTTGTTAGTTTAGAACATCCGTGTTAACCAAATTGACTAGCCCTAACTTATAATATTTTAGTTAAGAGACAAACACAAAGTGATAATGTGATTGTTACATATTTAGATCCTTATTGGAACTTCATGTTTCCATCACCTTTCCAACTTCTTCAAACTTCTCTAGATTGTAAAATCCAGTATGTAAAAATTTCGACTATGTTTTGATTAATCCTTAGGCGCTACCCAACCGACTAAAAGACGTCTATCTATTAATTCATGCCTACACAATGAGCAAAATAATAGCAAACGATAAAATTTTAACACTTTAAAGAGTTTCTATCTCAATAGAAACTATTTTAGCAATAATTTGTGTTGTATTAATCATATTAACATGTTTTGTTTTAACACTTAGGGTCTGCTATCGCTTCCTTGTAGTTAGCTAGCTCATCCAAATTTACCAGTGTATGATCACTTACAAACGTGTCACCATCTGTAGTTATACGAAAACCATAGAACTCGGGTGGCATGCTAACTCTACTAGAATGTCGAAGAAGTAATGAATTGTCAATGGGTTCAATAGGAGTCTCATCCTCTGGTTGAACGCTAGTGTCTTCTAAGATTCCTTCATTGGTTGACTCTTGAATCTCTTCAAGGTCAATTGTACTCTCATTGTCCTCTTTGCATATGAACTCTCTCTCACGAAAGACTCCTCTTCGTGCTACAAAGACCACGTTCTCACTAGGTTTGTAGAACAAATATCCAAAAGACTTCTTTGGGCAACGAATGAAAATAAATCTCTCAATTCTAGGTTCTAGCTTGTCACGAGTCTCTCGTCTAACGAAAGCTTCACAACCCCAGACCTTGATACGAGCGACTGTCTCTAAGTCATACACCCAGAAAGAAATGGGAAGGGAAGCTCGACTCATCATGACACGAACTATGTCTAACAAGGTTCGATTACGCCTCTCAGCCACACCATTAAGTTGTGTTGTCCTAGGAGGAGTCAATTGTGAAACTATTCCACATTCCTTGAGATAGTCGTGGAACTCGATAGTAAGATACTCTCCGCCTTTATCAGATCGGAGCATCTTTATCTTCCTGCCTAATTGATTCTCAGCTTCATGTTTAAACTCTTTGAACTTTTCAAAAGTTTCTGATTTATGTTTGATTAAGTAGATATCACCATATCTACTATAATCATCTGTAAATGCTACATAAAACCGATTAGCATCCCTTGTGGTAGATCTGAAAGGTCCACACATATCTATATGTATGACATCCAACAAACCTTCACCGCTTTCATAAGATCTAGTGAAAGGTGATTTTGTCATCTTTCCTAAAAGATCATATTCGCATTCATCATCTGACCTTAAGTCAAATGATTCCAACACTCCATCCTTTTGGCGTTGGGTGATGCGTTTCTTATTAATGTGCCCAATACGACAATGCCACAAGCATGCATTGTCTACACCATTAGACGAATCAATATGAAATTCACTATTACCTAAGTTATCAACACAAATCACAGTTTCATACACACCGTTACAAGGAAAAGCTTCAAACATAAAAATACCATTTTTATAAACCAAAACCGAACCATTCACATCATTATATGAATATCGAAAACATTGTCTAAATAATGCATGAAAATAAATAATATTTTGCGTCATTTCTAATGAATAGCAACAATCAACTAAGTCTAATCTAACATCACCACAAAGCATAAGACTATAAATTCCAATCTTAGTAACAGGAGAAGATCGCCCATTGCACATTATCAGATTCATCCTTCCACGCTCCACCTCCTCACTTTCTCTTAGCCCCGACAAATCAGAACAAATATGAAAACCACATCTTGTATCAAGGACCCAAGAACGAGTAAATTGTGAGTTATTAGTTTGAATAGTGTAAATACATGTTGACGATGGCTTCACTTTGCCATCCTTGATGTCCTGCAAATACTTGGGGCAGCTCCATTTCCAATGGTCCTTTTCATTGCAATAGAAGCAAATGGTCTCTTTGGAATCACTAAAAGAAGGAATGTCAGAACTGGGCCTTGCTTTTGGGTCATTGCTAGACGAACCAACATGGTCCTTGCCCTTCCAGTTCGTCTTAGGAGCACCTTTCCTCTTCTTTCCTTTGTTTTGCCCAATGGAAAGGACAGGAGCACTAATAGGAGTAGAGTTTTGATTTTTCTTTAAACCCGACTCAGCTGTTTGCAATAGGTTATGGAGTTGGGCCGATTTGGTCTCAATATTGTTCAAATGATAAGCTAATATAAACTGATCAAAACAAGGTGGAAAAGAGTTGAGGACCACATCAATGGTCAAGTCCTCGTCAAAGTTCACATTAAGCCTTTCAAGGGGCTCCACGTATCTTTGCATCCTTTGCACGTGATTGCAGACCGACCCCCCTTCTTTCAATTTGCAAGCCATGAGGGCCTTAACGACCTCATACTTTTCTTGACGAGCTCTCTTGTAAAACTTTTCCATAAGATCCAAATTCATCTCGTAAGGCCATTAGTCCTCATAGAACCTTTGCAATTTTTGGAACCATGATGCAAGCAACCTTTGTTGCATCATCTTAGTGTTTCTTATAGGAGAGGATTTCTTCAGGAGTAGAAGTGGCTTCATTGATCTCAACAAGTTGTTTTTCAAGGACATATTCTTTGCCTTCGTATCGAAGATCCATCTTGATGTTACGCATCCAATCATTGTAGTTGGTGCCATCCAATTTCACATTGGACACGATAGAGAGTAGCGAGAAGTTGTGGGAAGAGTTTTGCGAAACAGAAGCATCACCAGAAGTAGACATCTATAGAGAAAAAGAAATATCAGTTAGATAACAATTAATCCTTAATATTTTAACCCATAATAAATATTTAAGGTTAGGATCCAAAATAACAATTTACAGCTAAGAAAAGGGATGTCGTAATCTTATCGCAAATTTATGAGGGTAGGTAAATGCAATTTACCAATTTCAATCAAAATTAAATTCCTAGATCTTTTGAGATTCATTGAATCTTATCAAATAGAATATTTAATCTCAGATTATGCTCTTTTATTTGTGAATGGGATGCCAATGGTCACAAATTAGATGTGAATAACCATTCAAATACGCTTGACACTCTCAATGTCATTTATCATCTCTAATTAATGTGTTGGTTAACCACACGTGATCCATTAACAATGATAATTTTCGATATGCCCATTACTACTCTTTGTAGTCATTATTAGTGTGTCGGTTAACCACACACACTCCACTAACTACATACAAAGCATAATGTGCAATTTCATGGATAAAAATACTTTTCACATTTTTCCTAGAGTAACTTTATATCATTATACTTATTAATGAGATTATGTCCTATCAAATCCGTTCGGCAAACGACCTCCACCATACAAGAGAGTGGTTGGGTGAGACTAGACACTCAATGACGGTCATTTTATAAGCCGCTTCCTTAAGCTCCCCGTATATGTGTACTAGCAATTTGACTGACTTATTCTTATACATATAATAATTAACCTTTAATGATATATATATATATATATATAATATATATATATATATATATATATATAAGGTGTATTTTAAAACATTTAAAAATACAAGGTTTAATATTTTGATTATTTAAATTAAAACTTTTAATTTAATTAAATTTAAACCATT